GCATTTACAGAGGCGCCTCTGCGCCCCTGGCAAAAAAAGTGTTCTGCGACCGCTTACTTCGCGTAATGGACGGGCCGCCCCTGGTTTAGAGTGGCTTGTAGGTCTTTATTTATTTATTTCAAACATTTATATTCCGCCCTTCTCACCTCACAGGGGACTCAGGGTGGAGCACAACATATATATGGCAAACATTCAATGCCGGGACATAAAACCATAAATATATACGAACATTAAAATCACATATTCACATTTAAAGTTGCTTAAAAACCATCTCAGGACACCATTTTGCCTCATTGCACTGCCCCAAAGGCTTGGTCTTCTGAATGTGCACAGACTACGTTATCATCAGCAGATTGGAGTTCTATAACAGATGTTGTTGTGACTTTGGTTTTGGCTTTCAGTTGAGGTTAAATATTTTGCCATCTCCGATAGATGATTTCCACTCCGATGGGAGTGGAAAATCGGAGTATGGGAAAAGGTGTTTGGAAATGCATTAATCTGCTACACATGAATGACTCCTTCGCTTCTTAGTTTCAGCCATTGACAACCTTGGTTGTGTGTTTTCCGTTTAGCTTGTGACTAATTACGAGGTCTCTGGGAACACTTTGAAGATGGCTAAATGGATTATAAATCAACTTGTGTGGCTGCCATAAGACAACACTTTGCACGTAGGGAAGAGAAGGCAAGGTGGCATCAGACTTCTCATGGCAACCATTCAGTGTGTCCTTCACAGTCCCTATTTCCATTTATTTGAGAATCACAACATAATAGCAGTTCCCAGTGTTATGAATAACTTCTCAAAATATTGTCAAAGGCTTTCATGGCAGGAATCACTGGGTTGTTGTAGGTTTTTCGGGCTGCCTGGCCATGTTCCAGAAGCATTCTCTCCTGACATTTTGCCTGCATCTATTTATTTATTTATTTATTTATTTGGGGTTCTTCTACCCCGCCCTTCTCACCCCGAAGGGGACTCAGGGCGGCTTACAGAGGCAAAGGCACAATTCGATGCCTGCATCATAAAACAATCATACACAAAATTACATCAATTCACAGTTGACAACAATTCATGCATTATAACCATAAAATCAATAAAAACCAAATACAAACCCAATTTCTCCTCTTACATGGTCAGCGTTCGTTAACTCATAGATCTAGTTTTACGTTCCACTTCATCAATCCTGCTGGTCTTACTCGCCTGATTGTCTGATTTAATTGCCAGAGTGCCCAAAGGCCTGGTCCCATAACCAAGTCTTCACCCTCCTCCTGAAGGCGAGGAGGGATGATGATGCCCTGATTTCCCCCGGGAGTGAGTTCCACAGGTGAGGGGCCACCACTGAGAAAGCCCTGCTCCTCGTCCCCACCAGCCTCACTTGTGACAGTGGTGGGGTCGATAGCAGGGCCTCCCCAGATGATCTCAGACTCCGAGGTGGGACGTAGAGGGAGATACGTTCGGACAGATACACTGGACCGGAACCGTACAGGGTTTTGTAGGTCAAAACCAGCACCTTGAATTGTGCTCGGAACTGAATCGGCAGCCAGTGGAGCTGGCACAGCAGGGGGGTGGTATGCTCCCTGTATGTCGCTCCGGTGAGCAATCTAGCCGCCGCTCGCTGGACAAGTTGAAGTTTCCGAACAGTCTTCAAAGGCAACCCCACGTAGAGAGCATTGCAGTAATCTATCCGGGATGTAACAAGAGCATGGACCACCGTGGCCAGATCAGACTTCCCAAGGTACGGGCGCAACTGGTGCACAAGTTTTAATTGTGCAAAAGCTCTCCCGGCCACCGCTGAGACCTGGGGTTCCAGGCTCAGCGATGAGTCCAGGATCACTCCCAAGCTGCGAACCTGCGTCTTCAGGGGGAGTGTAACCCCGTCTAACACAGGCTGTAACCCTATACCCTGTTCGGCCTTACGACTGACCAGTAGGACCTCTGTCTTGTCTGGATTCAATTTCAATTTGTTAGCTCTCATCCAGTCCGACACAGCAAACACCGGTTCAAGGTCTGGACAGCCTCCTTGGTGACAGGTGGGAAGGAGTGACAGATTTGGACATCATCTGCGTAGAGATAACATCTCATTCCGAAACTCCGAATGATCTCTCCCAGCGGCTTCATGTAGATGTTAAACAACATCGGGGACAGAATTGAACCCTGTGGGACTCCACACAACAACGGTTGTGGGGCCGAACAGGTGTCACCCAGTAACACCTTCTGGGACCGTCCCTCAAGAAAGGACCGGAGCCACTGCAAAGCAGTACCCCCAAGTCCCATCTCTGTGAGGCGTCCCAGAAGAATACCGTGATCGACGGTATCGAAGGCCGCTGAGAGGTCCAGCAGAACTAACAGGGACACACTCCCCCTGTCCAGCTCCCGGCGAAGATCATCTACCAAGGCGACCAAGGCTGTTTCCATTCCATGTCCTGGTCTAAAGCCAGACTGTCCCGGTCTAAAGCCAGACTATGGCAGGCATCCTCAGAGGTTGTGAGATCTGTTGGAAACAAAGCAAGTGGGATGTATTGTCGAAGGCTTTCATGGCCAGAATCACTGGGTTGTTGTAGGTTTTTTCGGGCTGTATGGCCATGTTCTAGAGGCATTCTCTCCTGACATTTCTCCTGCATCTATGGCAAGCATCCTCAGAGGTAGTGAGGTCTGTTGGAACTAGGATTATGGGTTTATATATCTGTGGAATGACCAGGGTGGGACAAAGGACTCTTGTCTGCTGGAGCTAGGTGTGAATGTTTCAATGGTCCAGCATTTCTGTGTTCTCAGATAAAATACTCTAAATAAAGTACAACACTGAAAAACAGGGGAATTCCAGAGAAGAAACAATCTGGGGCAGCTAATAATAATAATAATAATAATAATAATAATAATAATAATAATACCAACAATAATCTATTTATTTATACCCCACCACCATCTCCCCAGTGGGAACTCAGAGCGGCTTACATGGGGCCAAGCCCGGACAACATATTACAGCAAAATAAAACCAGAGCATAAACAACAAACAACATCATCAAAATTACAGAAAGGAAAAGAATATATATATATATATATATATACACACACACACACACACACACACACACACACACACACACACACACATACATACATACATACACACACACACACACACATATATACACACAGTCATAAAATAACATAATCACCTCCCAACAAAGGATTCCCTCACAGGAAACAACCAAGATTTGGAGCTGCAAGGCTATTTGATGCTAATCAAGGTGATTAGTTGCAATATTCAAACCTGCCTCCAACAGACAAGAGTTCTTCCACCCTGGACATCATCCCACAGATATATAAACCCCACTTGCCTAGTTTCCAACAGACCTCACAACCTCTGAGGATGCTGGAAACAGAGGCGGGCGAAATGTCAGGAGAGAATGCTTCCGCAATATGGCCAGATAGCCCGGAAAACTCACAATAACCCAGTTTTTCTATGCTTTTATGATAGAAACAATTAGGAAATGACATTTATAGTCCATGAACAAAAATATTGTTACATAATGTTGTTGTTTTTATTTCTGAGTCTTCATAAGGTACGTACAACATCATTCCCCATCAGCCATACTTTGCCCCTTTTTTTGGAACTGAAACATGCTTATCTCCTGATGTTTCGCCTGCATCTATGTTGTGAAGTCTGTTGGAAACTAGGAAAATGGAGTTTATATATCTATGGAATGTCCAGGGTGGGAGAAAGAACTCTTGTCTGTTGGAGCTAGATGTGAATGTTTCAGTTGGCCACCTTGATTAGGATTTGATGGCCTGATAGTTTTTAGGTATGAATTGTTACTGCCTGGCGGAATCCTTTGCTGAGATGTGATTAGCTGTTCCTGATGTCCACAAATCTCCTGGAGCATCTCGGATGGAGGGCGATTAATAAGTAATTAAAGATGATAATGATGATGATGATGATGATAGAGGCCTGAAATTGGTCAGTTGGCTAGCAGAGATAGCTAGTGGGAGGATTTTTACAGCTATTAGAGAGATAGAGGTGGAGGAGTGAAGAGATAGATCCAGGATAGGACTATCAGTGCTGGTGTTGAGAATTACTTTCAGAGAAGCAATCCTGTCAGTAAATTCTGTGGAGGAGGAGAGAAGTGTTCCTGTGTAACTAAGTCTGAACTGCTTAAAGTAACCACGTGCGTTCAAGTCAATATTTTGAAACAGCTAAGCTTTATACCTGAATTGTTCCAGTTCTCTTAAATAAACATCATTGTTTTGTTGCTCACAACATCTGTCTCACGTGTGCCTCTCTGGGTGAAGTTTTAAGAGCAGTTTCCTGAAGCATGGTGGCAGCGTATAATTTAAAGAACAATCTTTTAGGGTTACCTCAGAAGACAAGCCTGAGGGCTAATCCAACACACTCTT